AAATATTTATCGATGGAAATAAAATTAAAAAAAAAAAAAAAAACTTTCTTCGTCCCATCTAAAGTAAGAGTAAGAATGGGGTATTGATCAGTTAAAATCTTTTTCGAACGTTGTAAAGTTTCTCTTTCCATTAATGTGTAAATGAATATGAAATTGTCAATGAAATTTATTTTGTCGGTAAGTTAGCAAGCGACATCGGAAAATATTGATCAGCGCCATCTCGCGTTTGGATCCGCGAAGCTTCGACTCGTTACTAGCATAGCAGGATAGGCGAGGAGGTATTCGTGACGTCACAGGAGCAAACGTGCCACTATTTTTGGTTATGCGGTTCCTGATACTTTCTAATTTTCGAGAACGTTACAACGAAATTTCATTAATTACTAATTTTCTACGCAAAATTTTTACACTTTTAAGCTTGCAGGTTAAAGTTAACACCTTTCACAACTTTCACGTATCAATTTTAACTACAAATTCTTTTCGATTAATTATTTATTAATAATTAATGACTCGAATACGGATCAACGTAACCGACGCGCAACGCGTTTTTCACTAATTTCGTATTATTGCGAGATTTATTTCTATATATGAATATATGTATCTGAAACGTTAGATTCTCCTCTACTTTCACGTATTATTTTTATTCGTATATTTATCGTTGTTTAAATAAATAATTCGATTGTTCACCGTTCGATTATGCGAAGCGAGGATACGCGATTGACATATTCTCTAATAATCGTTAATAACTGATTAATTAGGAAAAATTTCTACACTTTTAAGCTTGCATCTCAAAGATAGAACCTCAAACAATTTTCTTCAATAAATTTTTTACGGGAAATTATTTTCTATTAATTATTTATCAACGATTATAATAAAGAGCGTCTCGCTCGTATATCGTAATAATCGAGGTAATAACAATCGATTTATTCTTTCGAATAATAACATAATTAGGAATAAAAATTATACGTTAATGCTAAGAAAGGAACAACGTTTGAGATTCGTGCGTTTATATTTATAAATAAATCTCATAACAACGCGAAATTAATGAAAAATATATTGCACGTCGATACGTCAGTCCGCACGCGATTAATCGATAATTAATAATTAATTAAAAACGATTTCCCGTTAAAATTCATATCAGAGAGTTGTTTGAGTCGTTCTATATCTTTGAAACGCGAGTTCAAAGGCATAAAAGTTCACGATAAAAAATTATTTATCAATTAATTTTCAATTAAGCGTGTTCGTAGTGGTGGGGATACAATGGCGCGTCTTCTCTGTCCTTCTCGCACACTGTTGCTCACTTTCTCCGATGACGTCACGAATACCTCCTCGCCTATCCTGCTACGCTAGTAACGAGTCGAAGCTTCGCGGATCCAAACGCGAGATGGCGCTGATCAAAATTTTTCGATCGTTGTCTAACTTACCGACGAAATGCACTCCGCTGAAAGTTACTTATTTCATACACATATATTTTTACGTTTATTTAGCCAATTTTAATCGTCGTTTTTACGTAAAATTCTGTTTATTTATTTATTTTTTTTTGATCGCAAAGTTAAATTAAATTCAGATTTAATCATTTAGCGTGTGTTTCGCGAGTTGAAACGAAATTAACCGTAATATTATACCACGATAAAATCGTCGTAACAAAACACGACTTTTAATTTTTGTTTCTATCGATGTGAAAGGAATATAATATTTATATTCAATTAATAACCGAGCGTTTAATCGCTGCTTCTTGCGTGCAATTTATTTACGGCAACGTGGCCATCGTCGATTGTAAATTACATTTTGTCGATCGTTTTTCATTACGACCTCGTTTTCCTTCGTATTATAACTATCGAAATGCAGTTTCGATATTCCCTTCGACGTGCCGTTATTTCGTCCAAACGGATAATAATGGGAAACACGTCTACGCGTTTGTTCATCAATAACTTGGATATAACCGTAAATTACGTACAATTACGTAAATTTAACGGAAGGGAAACGACGCGTATCGACGCTTCTTCTCTCCGGGAGCAAAAAGCATCGAATTCACAAGCACGGAACAACAATAAAT